ACAACCGCCCCACAACCGCCCCACAACCGCCCCACAACCGCCCCACACCCAGCCCACGCTTTTAGTTGGTGCCCGCGGGTTGGGGAGCTCACCTGTAAACCAGAAGGTTGATGGAAGCCCCAAGCATCGGCCCTGCGAGGGCTACAGGCCTGGGGCTGCCCCGCTCAGAACACCTCCATCCCACGGCACCCCATGGCAGGGCTGACCCCACAGCTCAGCTCTCAGCGGTGGGTGGCATCGCTCTGGGCCCTCATCCACAGCCCCTCTCGTGGTGATCGGTGCCCAGCCACTCCGTGCCGAGCTCCAAGGGGACACGAGGCGACGCTGCCCCTCACTCCCCTCCCCCAAGTCCCTCCTATGACCCCCAGCACGACTGCTGGACACACAGGCCTCGAGAACCCTTCTTTTGGCAAAGCCCAGTTGACATCTCCCCTCAGGAAATGGGGAAAAACATCAGACTGGGCAGCGCCTGTCCTGCAGGCATCGTCCCACATCCCCAGAAACACGAAAAAAAGCCCTGGGAAACCCCACCAAGCAGCACGGAGCTGCCAGGTCCCGCTCTGAAACGCCTCTCTGCGAGGGGACCACGCATCACCTCCTTCCCAGCCCTGTTAAGGAAGGGCTGCAGCAGGCACTGAACTTGACCGAGGGTCTGACGGACAGAAGATCCACGCCCTGCCTCTGGCAGGCACCAACTTACCCATCGGTGATCCAAAATGAGGCCCTCTGGGTGGCAAACCCATGGGCGGGGGGCCGGGGTGCGGCATGCCGGGTGGGGGCCGAGGGGGGGGTTGGCCTCCAGAGCCTGGTGGTCCTGGGTGATGCTGGCCCATCCCGGGCGGGCCGTGGTGCACCTGCATGGGAGGCATTCCTGTGGGGACAAAGGGAGCTCAGGGCGTCGCTGCCGCAGCTCCAAGCACCCACTTCAGCCCACCAGGCTGTGCTGGTTGAAACGGCGGGTATAAAAAAGGGGCCTGACGGCAGTTTTCTGCTCCCAGCCAGGAGATTTAAGGGGAGGAGGCAAGCAGCCCTCCTCTGAAGCACAGAGAAAGGAGGGAAGTGAACAGGAGCTGGCTGCAGCGCGCCGGAACTCGGCCAACTCCAGGAGAAATGCTATTCCCTGTGATGCCAGGTGATTTTTCCACACTGTGTTTTTAGATCAGATTTCTTTCTCATAGAAACACATAGATCATGATTTAGCAGACGGATCTTTCAGGTTAAAGTAAGGCTTTCTGGGGGACTGAACTCGATGATTCTTACCCCTCTGATTCTGTGATAGGCAGAAGCAGGAAAAACCAGCAAGTGTGGCACAGCTTTGCACAGGGGCTCAGGGAGAAGCCACCACCTGGGAGATTTCCATCAAGAACCCAAGCATCCGGACTTTGAAGCTCGCTCTGCTCTGAGCAGGAACAAAGCCTGCATTCCCCCCCCCATCCCCCCCCCACAACAACTCTATTATTTTAAACTCGTAAGGAAACAAAACCAAATCACCGATTGCTTTCCCCTTCCCAAAAAGAAAGAAATAGGAGCCAGGAGCAGCTCCGTGGAGCAGGCAGTGTGGAAGCGCTCACTCAGGCTTCCCTGTGCAGAGCATAATTGGCTGCTGCACAGCCTGAAGAGCCGGGCTGTGACAGGGACAGCAGCTGCCATCTGCTCAGCACACGCCAGGGCTGGGATCACACAAAGCCCCCTAATCAACCTTGGGGCAGGGGTTATTATAGAGCAGGGGTTATTATAGAGCAGGGGTTATTATAGAGCAGGCAAGATGAGAAACAATGAAATCAGAACTGGTTTGGTTTTTTTTCTTCTTTAAAGCCAATGCAAAACGGATTGAATTCTTGCCTTGAAAGCCACAGGGTCCAGAGGGATACGCTGCTCAGTCCCCACTGCCACAGGGGCTCAAAAGGGAAAGGAATCAAAGAAACATTTGGTTCTCGTGCCTTGAATTAGCTGCCACCCAGCGGAGCTGCAGGCTGCGCAGAGCAGGTTCACACTTCCTTCACTTCACACCGGAGCCAAATGAGGGTGGCTTGGAGTCTCATCGACGTCCCTCCAGCCAGGACAGCACCCAAAAAGCCTGCAGTGCAACGGCCTCTGCCCCCCCGTGCCCCACACAGGGACAACGCGTGTCCTGACCCAAACTGGATGCCTCCCACAAGGGAACTATTTCCTGGATCACCAAAACACTCATCAGAAATCCTGCTCCATTTTTGGCACATTTTAGAACGCGCAGAAGAGAAACCCAAAAGCAGCCCTGCTGACGTGACAGATTTGCTCCTACGCAGATTCTCCCTGTTTTTCCTGGGGAGGAGAGCAGCCACCAGGCTGCCTCGTGCTGCAGAGAGCAAGATCTTGTGCAAAAATACAGCCAGCACACAACAAACGCAGCCCAGGGCGCTCAGACTGCCGCTTCTATTCAGCACTGAGCAAAACCGGTGTCTCAGCAGCTAACTGAGGCACCCTCTGCCCTGCCTGCCTGCTCCACCACGGCTGCGCTGTGCTCAGTGCCTCCCAGACACCAGCAGTAATTCCATCCTCGTTTTACAGAAGGGAAACCTCACGGAAGAAACCACAAGAGGGGGTGATTCATCCAAGGCCAGAAAAGGTTCTGCATCTCCCGAGCTCGGTACCTGGCTGCCACGTACCTGGGTGGTGCATGCCTCCTGGTGGGAAGGCGTGCGGGTGAGGCGGGTGCCCTCCGGTGGGTGCAGCCCCTGTGGGGGGGCCGGGGGCACCGGCTCCAGGTGGCATCGGTGGGGGCGGCATGGCAGGAGGCATGCCAGGAGGCATTGCTCCAGGAGGCGGCACCGGCGGGGGAAATGATCCTGGGGGTGGGAGGCCTGGAAGGAGAGAGAGAAGGAGAGCAGCAATGAAGATTTGGTCGAGTGCAGAAGGATGAAAAACAAGCACAAAGAGTCCCAGGCAATCAGGAATGAAGCAAAAGCACGATAAGCCACGGCAAACAGAGAAACCAGCAGACTGAAGCACTAGGATCCATCCGCTCCACACTGGGAGAGCACAGGCTGAGCTGCTGCAGCACGAGCAGAATTCCCAAGGATCACAGCCTTGCGATCCTGCAGGGCTCTGTGCTGTCACCCAGAGCACCCACACTGTGCAGCTCCACGCAGAACAAAGCCTTTCAGCTCTGCCCCAGACACTGCAGTAACAGCAAATGGGTGACGAGACTCAGGAGTCCTATCAGCACCCAGGGCATCCTGCTGCAAGGCGAAAGCAGGCTGCTTCCACAGACCCCAAGGCAGAGACAAACACACACACACACACAGAGCACCAAAACCACCTCTTTTCAACCCAGTGTGCCTCTACCCACCTGGAGGGGTGACGCCAGGTCCCAGAGCAGTGACCACAGGAGTGGGGACAGATGGAGGAGGAGGAGCATCGGCAAACAGCTGGTGGGGCCGATCTGCCTGGGAGAGCGGATTCTGAGCGGCCAGGAGCCTCTCAGCAGCTGAGCCGTGCCGCTCGCCTTTGGAATCCTTCTTGAAGGCGTAGGAGACAGTGATGGGCCTGTTGCAGAGGTACTGTCCGTTCATGGCCTCGATAGCAGCGTCAGAAGCATCAAAGCTGGCGAAGTTGATGAAGGCATAACCCTTGGAATTGCCCGTGTCTGGATCCCGCATGATTTTGGGTGTCTGTAAGATGACCCCAAAGGCGCTGAAGGTGTCGTACAGCAGCTTCTCGTCGATTTCGGGGTCCAGGTTGCCTATGAAGATGTTGGCCCCCACATCCAGGTTCTTGTTGTGAGCCGAGGCTTTGTTCACTCGGATCGGCTTCCCATACAGTTTGATCATGTTCATGATTTTAATGGCGTAATCTGCGTCCTCCTCGCTGAGGAACTCCACGAACCCATAGCCTGCAACAAGGCCCCACACAAAGCTTTAGGTCTGGGCAGAACCACGGCCTGACGCTGCCCCCCATTGCCTCCAAGGGGAACGCTGCTCCTGCAGCCCGAAGGCACCAACCCTTCTCGCTTAGAAACCGAGCCCAGGGCTCACCCAAGACAGAAAGCCCTGCAAATCACCCAACCTTACCTCCCTTCCTGCAACAACTGCTCTCTGACCACACTCCCCCCAAACCCCCCGACTAAAGCATTCTTCTCCACGTGAGCTTTTGGGGAGCGCCGCCACTCACCCTGGTGCTGGCCTGTGACTCGATCCTTGGGCATGTGGGTGTTGACCACGGGGCCCGCCTGGAGGAAGAGCTCCCACAGCAGCGGCTCGCTGACCTTCTCGTCCAAACCCCCCACGTACACAGTCGCATCTGGAGCAGAGCAGAAAAGAGACCGAATGAGCAGCACGCGGGAGCTGCGGGCCTGAGCCTTGAGCGCTCGATGAGGAAGTTATCGGAGGCTGCAGGAGATGCCAGAGCGGGGCCCTGCTGAAGCCGGGAGTCAATACGGCCTCCTTATGCTGTTCCAAATCCGAGGCTCCGCAACGAGACCCTGAGAGAAATCAAAGCCCCTCGGCATCCCGGCCACGGGGGAGCCGAGATCCGCGAGCCTTCCAACGGACTCACAGAGAACCACAACCGCGGCCTCAGCCAGGAAGGCCGCGCAGCCCCTCCACCTCCCGGTGACCCACAGAACTCCATTCCGACAACCACCCGCTCGCCCTCAGCACCTCAATCGCCCCCCACCGACTCGCCGTCCCCGCGCAGCCCCGCACCGCTCACCCTGGTTCCGCTCCGAGATGGGCCCCGCCGCCATCTTGGCCCGCTCCCTCCCGCGCGGCACCGACGCAACGCGACGTAAGGGGACGTAAGGGGACGTAAAGCGCCGCAGCCTCACGTTGTGACGTCACCACGGCCGCTAATCGGAAGTGACGTTGGCGCCGGAGGGCGGCCGCCATGTTGAGTTAGTGAAGGAGGGGCCTGCACCGCGCCCTTCTCCTTTTGTCGCGATATCCCCCGCAGCGCCTCGACAAACCGCGACATTCCCCGGGTGGCGGGTCCCCCTCCCCCCCGGCACGCTCCTCCAATGGCAGCCACACGGCGTTGCCTGCAGAACGCTGTGCTTTAATAGGCAAATACAAACACCGCTGACACGCGGCCCAGCCTCCCCCCCTCCAGTCGCGCCGTGGGGCCGCTGCTTCCGCGTTGTGCTGAGGGGTCAGAACCGCTCCGCCCCATGGCGCTGATCCCCCCTGAGCCGCGGCAGAGGGGAACCCCAGCGCTGCTGCGGGGCCTCCAGTGAGGAATGCGGCCCCATAGAGCCGTGGGCCCCATAAAGCTCTGGGCTCCAAAAAGCCACAGGGCTCAAAAAGCTACAGGCCCCAAAGAGCTGGGAGCCCCCAAAAGCCCCAGGCGCTAACGGACCACGGGCCCCAAAAAGCTGTGGTCCCCAAAAGGCCCCAGCCTGCCCAGAAAAACACAGGCAATAAAGAGCCGTGGACCTCAAAAAGCTGTAAGCCCCAGATCCTCAGGTCCCAAAGAGCCGTGGTCCCCAAAAAACCCCAGGACCCAAAAAATGCTGGTCCCCCAAAAAATCCCAGGCTCCAAAGAGCCACGGCCCCAGCGTGGAGCAAAAGGAAGCAGCTGAGCCAGGGGGGCCGCGTCCCTCCACAACCCCCAGACTGGAGGGACCCCGAGGGATGAGTCCACCCCTGCAGTGTGTGTCCCTTCAGGGGGGTTCCCACCCCCAGGGCCCCCTGAGACCCTCACCGTGAGGGTGCCAGGGGGCTGCTGGTGGGCTCAGCGTGGGCCCCATCCTGCTGCCATGCATGGAGCCGGTCCTGCAGCAGAGCCAGCTCCTCCAGCAGTAGGGCCGGGCACGGGGCCAGGCGGCCACGCTGTGGGGGGCATGTGGGGTCAGGGTGGGGAACTGCAGGGTCGGGATGGAGACGTGGGGTTGGAGAGGCACATATGGGGTTGGGGTGGATGGATACATGGGGTTGGGATGGTCACACATGGGGTTGGGAGGGACACTCATGGGGGTGAGATGGATATGCGGGGTTGGGGTGGATGCATGGGGTTGGGATGGACGCACATGGGGGTGAGGTGGACACACGGGGTCGGATGGACACATATGGGGTGTGAATGGATGGTTACGTGGGGTTGGGGTGGATGCATATGGGGTTGGATGGACAAACATGGGACTGGGAGGGACACTCGTGGGGGTGAGATGGACATGTGGGGTTGGGGTGGACGCACATGGGATTGGGGTGGATGCATACATGGGGTTGGGATGGTCACACATGGGGTTGGGAGGGACGCTCAAGGGGGTGAGATGGACAGGTGGAGTTGGGGTGGACGCATGGGGTTGGGATGGATGCACACTGGGGGGGGGTGGGATGGATGAATGCGGGACTGGGTTGTTCACACATGGGGTTGGGATGGATGTACGTGGGATTAGGATGGACACAAGGGGTTGAGAATCCCCCAGCCCCATTACCTGTGCCTCAGGCAGACCCCGCAGGTAGCAGCGTCTCCAGAGCCGCACGGAAGGTCCTGCAGCACAGGGCAGCAGCAGCCCCCGGGGGGGTGTGGGAATAGGGTCACCCCCCCGATCACTGAGGGTCTCCAGGGAGGGGGCCCAGCGCAGCAGGCGAGGGGGGGGGACGGCCGCTCCGCCACGGGAAGGGCTGTGGGGTCAGAGAGCCCTTGGACAGAGCCAGCACCGCCCCAGAGCTCGATCCTGACCAGGCACTGGCAGGCTGGGAATCAGGAGAAAACGGGTTAGGGGCTGTGGGGGGAAACCCAGCGGCTGGGGTGCAAAGGGGTGGTAAGGAGAAATAGGGGAAAAGGGGTTAGGGGCAATGGGGGGGAAACGAGAAAACGGGGTAAAAGGGGGAAGGGAAATGGGGAGAAAACAGAGATTGGGGTGAAAAACAGTGGTAAGGGGGAACGGCAGCCCCCCCAACCCACTCACTGTGCCCGTGTTCTGGGGGTCCGCAGCATCGGGGGTCCCCACGGGGCCGGGGTCCCACGCCGGGTTCTGGAATCGCGCCCGCTGCTGCCGGCTGTAGCGCAGCCCCCAGGCCCAGACGGGGGGCAAACGGCTGCTGGTGCTGCCCGGGGGGGGGGTCCCAGCGGCCGCTCACAGGGGTGTAGGTCTGGGTGCGAGGCTGCTGCTGCAGGGGGACAGGGGGTCAACCCCAAAAAGGGGCTGTGCAGGGCGTGGGGAAACCGGGGTGCATATGGGGAAACTGGGACGGGAGGTGGGGAGGAATGGGGTGGGAGGGGGGAAACTGAGCTGGGGGGAAATTGAGACAGGAGAGAGGGAAACCGAGGCCCCATATGTGATTCAACTTCCCTCCCACCTCTGTTTTCCCTCTCCTGCCCCATTTCTCTCCCCTTCCTTCTCCATTCCTCCCTATCCTACCCCAGACGTGCAATGGGGCAGGAGAGGGGAAACAGGTGGGGGGAAAACTGAGGCAGGAGAGGGGGAAACTGAGGCACATAAAGGGAAACTGGAGGCGTAGGGATGAGGAAACTGAGGCAGGAAAGGGAAACTGAGGCACTGAGGGGGAAAGTGAGGCAGGCCACCCCGCTCACCGCCCCACCGCGGCCCTTCTGCCTCTGGCAGCTGAAGAGGAAGGTGCTGCAGTAGGGCAGGAAGGTGCTGTCGTGCAGGGCCAGCAGGTACGCCTCGGTGAAGCCAAACGCCGCCGGGAATTGCCGCAGCAGCTGCCAGGTGCAGTCCAAGAACAGCAGGAAGACGGGGGACTGCGGGGGGGGGGGGATATATAACACGGGTGTCACCCCCAGGGAGGTGATGTGGGGTGGCACCCCCAGGGGTGACGCAGGTGAGGGCTTTGGGGTCTCCACCTCCTCGCGGGGGCTGTCCCGGCGCAGACCGAGGCGCTGAGGGAAGGGGTGCCCCGCTGCCACCCACTCGCGCTGCACCAGGCTCTGGAAGCCATGCAGGGTGCGTGCATGGGGGTCCGCCAGCAGCTGCACCAGGGAGGCCAGCAGGCAGCTCAGGTCACGGTCTGAAGGCTCTGGGGGAAGGGGGACAAGCGGAGAGGAATGGGGGGGCGCCATCGTGACCCCCACCCCAATGCCAGGACCCCCCACCCTGGTGTCCCTCACCGCAGTGCTTCCCTCCTCATCGCCCCCCCACCCTGGTGTCCCTTGTCCTGGTGTCCTCCCCACTCTAATTCTCCCCCCCCCCAGTTTGCCCCCC